TTTTTAAAAACCAAAATGTTAAATGATGCATTTTTTATGGCTTTGTTGAAAATAAGAGTGCAGTTTGAGTTCATCTCCACGATGTAATGAGGATGAAATGATTGGTGAACAAACAACGTGAAAAACAAATGGTTGGATGTTGAATCATACGATTATGTATGCTATCATTGATTTGTTGAAATGAAAGGGTGATTGAATTTTTTAATTACTATTTAACAACTGAATGTTAACTGTTGATATATCTGTGTTTTATCATAAAGTGTTTGATAAATTAACAGTGTTTGTGGACATGAATATCTTTATCAAAATTTTTTTTTAGTTTATTTTCATTATTATGTTCATATTCTTGTAATATTTATCTTTTTTCATGTTTCATTAATAATTTGTACAAACATGAATATGAGCTGGGTGCAGTGCTTACAATTTATGTTCTGATGTGTAGCCTTCCACATTGAGACACTTAACCTGTGGGTGGATGTGAGTTGACTCAATAAACACCATCCATGCTGATTTACCAGACGATAATCACTATCTTTTAAATTTCGTTGAAGAGTTGGTTCAATATTTTTAATGCTATTAAAAGTTAATATAATTGTTATCTATGAAAAGAAGCTATTTACTTCAAGATCATGTTAAAGATTCAGTGAGGTGTTTTTCTAATGGTTTAGGAAAGAATGAGCTGTGTTAAGTCAGATTGGCATGGAAGTGTCATCCTGCTCCCTAAATTTTAAATGGTGAATGAGTCAAGCTACTAATTTTTAAACATTTTTGTTGTGAAGTTTTCAGGTGTGTGTGATTGCAATAGTATTGTTTGTTTATAAAATTTGAATATTTAACATACCTGTCCAACAGAGTCAGTCTGGTTCATGAATATTAATGAATTTTGAGTCAAATTCATAGTTGTGAAATGAATGAATTTTGAGTAAAATTCATAGTTGTGAAATAAATGTTATTGACTTTGTGGCAATGTGGTGTTGATGATTTATTCTTTCACCGCTTTCACATGTGCTTTGTTTCAACTCTCTCTCCTCTCTCTCTCACTTTTCTCTCTTCTCTTTCTCACTTCTTTTTTACATGTAGTTCAGCTTGAAATGTTGTGTTTCATGTTGCATTTCCTAGAACAGCTCAGTTCATTTGTCATAAACAAATTGACTTGTTTTTAAATTCATGAATTTCAAACAACGTTTGTTTCTATGTTTTTCCCAACCAATCAGATTATTCTTTTCTCTTATATTCACCAATCAAAATGTTCTTTTTTATATGGTTCTAATTTTAAATGTTTATATATTTCTTGTCTAAACGTATCTATAAATTTGTGAAACGTGTTAAACAAAATTATGTGCAGAAATAATTATTTTTTGCATAAACAAGTGAAGATTAAGATTTTTTTAATACACTGTATTATGATTATAAAAATTGGTAGAGAAAATTTTTTCCCATTCTTTTCATATAATCGCTCTTCATGTCGTCGTGTCATTCGAGTCCAGTCGCTCCTGCCAATTTTTACCAACTGCTGATGCACTTAGCACGCTGAATAGACATATTTTGGGATGCACTCACTGTTCGATGCTTTGTTTTCGGACCTAATTATATTGACCTTGTTAACGAGTAAGCTAATAAAATATATTTATACAATCTTCGGCGAATAATTCGTCATGCAAACACGCGCGGTACGATCCGCGATACCTGCGCTGTGTTGTCTTCGTAATTGTAGGCGTTTTCTAATTCAGATTTAAAAGCGGCCGAACGAGCGCGTTCAATCTTAAATTGCGTTATAACTTTTGCTTATGCACAGCTGACGTTTGAAAGTTTAAGGTGTTTTTTATAAATCATTAGCAACTAGCGAGTTAAAAATTTGAAGTTTTAGCAATAACTTTTAATAATAGATAAATGAATGAATAAATAAATAAATGAATTTTCAGTTCGTTTAATAAAAAAAAAGGTTTATTAAATTTTTTTTTCATGGTGTTATTTCATCTTTCTCACTGAGTCTGGTATTAAAAATTTCTTCCATCGGTTTGCTGATGTGTTCATTGGACAGTATTCCTATTCATATTAAAATAATTTTTTGTTTATTTATCGTTTTTATAAATATTTACATGTTCTGTGAATTTAAGTTAAAAACCGAAAAATTTTCTACCTGCTGCAAAACGTTGTGTAGATAGAAATGTATGAACTGTTTGATCAGCTTGCCATAGTGATAAAAATGCGTGTATGTGTGTTTGCCTGTTTGTCTGCCTGCCTGTCCGCCTGCTTGCCTGTCTGTCTGTCTCTTTGTCTGTCTGTATGTATATATAATATATATTTCTCATTTAACAACTTACCATGACCATCATTTGAAGTGTCATCAGATTACAACAGCCAGGGTGCAATTATTTCCATTATCTTGCCATCATCCTTGTCATCATCTGCCTATGTTTTAGGGCAAATCCATCTGAATTATATTTGTGACCAGTGAAAAATTAATAAACGTTTTTCTATTCAACACTTGTTTATGATATAAGCTTGCTAGTTTTTATCCTTTATTGCACCTGGTATGTATTTGTTGCATATTTGTTCCATTATATTTTGACATTTTTGGGGGATTTTCTTTCTTTTTGTATTAAGTTTATGCTTAGAATATTCGTTTACAATAAAATTACGAGTTTTAGGAATATTGTTATTATTTTTCATTTTAGATTATTCACACCCCTACGTAAAGTTGCTTTATTATTTATAAATATATTATTTGTGATTGCATGATAATTTAAATACTGATGTTTCATTAACAGCTCCTTGGTCCATGCCTCTCAACAGAAAATAAATACAAAGTTAGTTTTATTAATTCACGATTTTTTCTTGTTAATGAACTAACTGGTAAAATAGAATTTCAATAAATTATTTAAAACCTTCAATGGTGTTCATGCCAATGTAAGTGTTTTAAGGCTTAGTTGACGACGTAGTTGTAACAGATAAGCATTACAATCTGCATCTTATTATCTGCTTTCTTGAGTGGCAACTTTTTTGACCTACGATTCAGCTTATTAAACTTATTTTTAAAGAATTTCAAAAGTCAACTTGCATGGTGAATTGAGAACTTGCGCGTAAGGTTGATTTGCTTATATTTTCTCCAACAATGGCATAACTCTTCTAATTAATTCATTCAATTTTCTTCCTCTTGTCCCTCCAAATCAGATAGGTGGTCTGATATTTGATAAGCACACAGGCAAGGCTAATGAATTATGATACATTCGTGACAACATTTATATATTACTTTCCTGGTTTTAAATTACATAGCTAGTTAATTTTATTAGGTCAAGTAGGTACTTGAGTTCAGTTTGGTACTTACTTAATTAAGTGAAGTGTTTGTATAGTTTTGTGTCTTCTTAAGTTCGTTGCAGTTTGTCGTTACGTTAACTTTTAAATACTCTATATGACAACTTATGAAAGGAATTATTTCATAATACTTTGATAATTATACTGCTGATGTTGTTGTTTGATGATGGGGTCAGTGATGTTAGTGATGATGTTTATGATGATATTTTTTTGTTGTAATAATATCATTGATGCTGATGATTGTATGGGGATAATTGTATGTTTATGTTTGTATGATGATGTTTGTATGATAATGGTTGATTGTGATTGATGGTGTTTGTATGAAGATGTTTGTATAATGATGTTGTATGACGGTGTATGTATGATGAAGTTTGTATTATAATGTTTATAAAATGGCTGTATGTTCATGTTTGTATAACCATGATTGTATGATGTTTGTTCAATTATATTTACATTTTTACTTTCAGCTCCAACCCGTGAAAAATTTGTCGCTCTACAGAACAAACAAGTTGAAATTTTTTAATTTTAAAACGACGTTTATTTGTGTACCATCACTTTTCTCACAATACGTTTCTCAGTACTTGAAAACTTTTACCTTACTTGAATGTAATGATTTCTTTATAATTTAGTTTGAATCTTTGAAATATAATGATTTTTTATCACAATTCTCAAGTCCACAACAATATGCAAACATTATTAACGATATTATTGCTGAAATCATTCAGATCTTTTATTCAATCTTGAATTTATTGTGCCCAATCTATCTCCATAATATTTGACGTTATTAAAATCTTTGAACTAGTTGCAATGTTAATTTGTTTATTATAACGATTTAAGTTGGAAATTCTTACTAGTAGTTAAATTTTTAAAGTTCCGGCTGAAAAGCACCAACCGACGCTCAACCGCACTGATTTGTATGCTGAGTCAGTGCATCACATACTTTTAATCTGATATGCATGGATCTCTCGGCATTCGATCTCGGTTATCGAAACGTGCAATCTAATGTTCCAATATTATCGAGCCACCATCCGTTAATTAATTACAAATTTTATTTAATTTCTTCTTCTTACAAATAAACATCAACCATTGAATGTGACACACAGCATGAAAGAAAGCACGTTTCCTCCACAGCTCATCTTCACTCCCATTGCAGAGAGGATTGTTGGTTAGTCGCGACATGCAAGAATGTTTTTATACTTTCCTAATTCGTTTTTAAAAATACTTCTTACGGCTCACAACTTTTTACCGTTTTGAAGTGAAACAATTAACTTAATTATGAGCTGGGTAGCAGTTTGAGATGCTACATTTACGATCCATTTAACTTAGGTGTTAAGATGTATAGTTAACATGGTTAACTTGGTCATCCATCAGAATCTCATAACTTATATAGATATTTGTAGGCCCACTAAAAATAGCATTTGACTGCTTTGTAGAACCCTTTCATCAAATGCAACCAATCATTCATTCATTCATTTATTCAATCAATCAATCAATCAACCAATCAGTCAAACAACCAACTGATCAGTTTGCAAAAACACATCAAGTTCATTCATACATAGCTTGTACAATATATTGGACACAATTGGAATTCGTAGCTCTGACTTTGAACATAAGCTTCTAAAGGCTGATGATGATGAAGATGAATAACTTTTGCTTCATTATAATTGACAAGTAAAACTTATTGAATGGAAAACTTATCTGCAGTTGTTATGTTTGCGTCTGAGGACCACGAAACAACCTACGTATCAAACATAACAGATGTAGCTCAGATGCTTTTAAAGAAGCATGGAGAAAACTATTTGGTAGGTAATTTTTTTGTTTTAGTAAACTTTAGTTTTTAAAACCATAGCGCTGTCCCCAGCAATGCTTCCATTTATATTTGGTTTCATTTTTTTTCACAAAAAGCAAAAAATATCTTTCGAGTGTTGCCTTTTTGCTCCCGTTGTTTCTTTTCGTTAACCCGTTAGCTGCAACGTAACAAACTTTAACGCATCCAAACCAAACGAGAACTCGCCGTTTCAAATTATTAGAATTAATACTTATTCTCGAGATGTGTTGTTTTGTGCTTATAAGCTGAGGATTCGTTAAAGTTTCAATTAATTGGCTCATTATGTTTTTTTTATTTGCTTCTCAGATTGTCAATTTGTCCGACAGAAGAAATGACATGCACAAAATGCATAGACAGGTATTTTAATGTTTCCTTTTTTGAATGTTACCCGTTGTTTGAATTGATTGTATTTATTATATATTATGCTATCAACCACACATTTCTCTGACACCTCCCCTCATGTTAGTTTTTCATCCAACTTGACAATTGTCACCTTAATTACTCAGCATTAAGCATTAGATCGACGGATTATCTAAGTTGCTGAATTATTTAAATGCATTGTGTCTTCAGAAAAAGTTTAATAACACTGGGCTGGGAGAGGAATGTGATTATTGTGACTTTTCAGTATCTATTAATTGATAGTTCTTGTTCTGATCTTTTGATCTCAATTATTATTTTAAATAGAGGATGCTCTTACTGAACCACTAAAGCATTGAATGTTAATGAAAGGTGATTGATTTTGGATGGCCTGAAACACTGGCGCCTCCCCTGGAAAGACTGTGCAACATCTGCAAGTGCATTGATTCCTACCTGAACGGCAACCAGAAGAACGTGGTCGTCATCCACTGCAAGGGCGGTCTCGGCAGACTGGCTGTCGTCCTCTCCGCATACATCGACTACAGTAATATTTGCTCCAGGTATGATGGTGGGGGGTGGTGTTGGGTGGTGATGATAGTGATGGTGGTAAGGATATTGATGATGATGTTTGTAGCGAGGATACTGATGAAGATTGGGGTGGTAATAGTAATGATAACGCTGATGATGTTAATATTGACAATTCAAAATTTGAAATGTTTCGTGGAATAAAAAAAATATGAATTTATTTATTTTACGTTTGGTAATGCCATTTTCCAGCGTAATCTTATTTTAATGGAAATATATTATGATTTACCATAAAATTACACAAATTTATTGGAAGTGAAAACCAAATCGGTTTAGATTTATAATTGTCTGCCATTAAATTGAAACAATTACGAAATAATCATATTTATTTGAAAGCTTTAAATTGCAAATACGAATTGTTAATAATATTTCCAGTTAAATAAATTTGTAGTTGTTTGTAGAATTAATTTCGTTAAAAATCGTGAAACAGCTTTTAAAATAATAAAAATTAAAAAAAGTTTTGATTACTTGATAAATGCTGAATAATGGTCGAGTTATCAAATTATTACTATGCACAAATATAATGAAATCGTAAACGTTTCAACACCAAACTTCAGAATTTTTATTTTAAACATGAGTTAGACCAAAGCTTATCTGCTCTGTAGGATTGTATTGATGTTTGCCTGCCGGTGCTCGATGTTAACTGCTTGTAAACATGTTTTTGCAGTTCTGCTAGCTCCTCTGATTGTGTTTTCAAAACTGCTTCATTTAAATCAAACGTATAAAAAGGCTAGAAACATATCATTCTGTTCATCTCTTTCAACACGGTTGATGCCTGGATTAATTATTTTTTGTTGTTTGGATTTGGATGTTTGTTGTTGGAGCAGCTGGTGAGGTAGTGAGTGATAGTGTTCGTTAAATGAGTTTAAGCGAGGAATATCTTTCATCCAACCAAAAGCAGAAGGTTTAACATGATTTACATTAAAAGTTCTGCTTTTATTCAATTGTAGACAGAAAGATTAACATGATGTATGATATATATAAAGATTTGCTCTCCATGACGACCTAAAGTTGAAGTTTGTCGCTGGAAAATATTTTGCAGTTTTGTGGGATGCCATGACGATCAAGTTATTGAACATGTAAAGAATCTCTAGAAAGATAGAGGATGGTTAAGAAAGTAGGACCTAGTGTAGAGGAGGGATGGAACTCAGAAAGAAATTGTAGGTGTTCGTCTGGATCTGCTCAGTTTAGTCTTGTGTCTTGACGAAACCTCTAAGTAAGCAGGATTTCGAATAATGTGAATCAAGTTGTAAAGTTGTAATTTGTCTTATTATTTTGGTCCATCTTTTGAAATTTTCATTGATGTTGTACGAGTTTGAGGTATCTAGTGAACTGGAAATAGTTTTAGATGATGTTTAGCTTATTTATTTCACGACTCACACCAAGGCCCAAATACGTCTCGTGTTGCACTGTATCAACACTGCCGCTTGTATGATAATACCAATAACAAAACTAAACTAAACAACAATAATAATAATAATATTAATGTTGTTATTAATATTATTATTATTGAAAAATATATTATAACAATTATAACAATCATAATGATGTTGTGTTATCCACCGAAACGGGAAGGACGTTGTGTCGCTATTAAGTGACATTCGGCCTTCTATGAGATCTTAAATGACTTCTTAATCTAAAATCTGATGCGCATGGTTTACCACAATAGGGGCATCGAGGAACCAGTTGATTTCAATTCTCCTGATGTTGCTGCATGACGGATAAGTCGACGCCTGTAAGAGGCTATTGTCCATTCTAACATAATATTTGTGAGACCAGCTTTACAATTCCTCTTCCATTTCCAGCCGAGTTGATGTTACATTTCTGAAATAAGCTTTTTATTTTATCCACGAATCGCTTCTTTGGTCAACCGACTGAACGAAGGCCATTTGATAGCTCGCCGTATAAAAATCTACGAGGTAGACAAGTCATACGAATAACATGACTTATCCCCCGCAGTTGTTGTGACAATAGATATTCAGCCTGTATGGTACATGCAATCCTAAATATATCAGTGAGGGGTATTGCGATCAGAGTTTTCTTTCTCCTAGACGATATGCTATCCCTAGCTTCGAGCTCCATTCACTCGGGTTTTGTTATCGTAGTGTGCCTTTTCTGAGTTTTGAAATCAGAGTTAACCTTCTAGGCAGTGTGGCAACGGGTGCTGTCAACCCGGTTCATCTGGTTTATGCTCGCTTTCGCCCCTTTTGCTGTTAGCGTGACCTTGCAGCTTGACAGCCAGGAGCAGAGCCTGTCAGGAGAGCATTTCCCAGAATTTATAGCCGCAGAGCTGGCCAATGCAATCATAATGATAGTAATCAACTAACCACATTAATGTCAGAAAAATTATGAAGCGGTAACGTTGTTATTGAATTGACGGTAGCGATGATGGTAGCCATGACAACGATGAAATAAGATAAGATTAGATTTTTATGATGAGGGCAGTAATGGCTTAATTTTTTTTTAATTTTAATAATAGACACAAAAACTTTATAATGATAATATTTTGAAAATTTGTTTGGCAATGTAAAATAGTTTTTACAATTCATTTTCTTCTCCAATTTATTCTCACTCTCTCTTTCTCTTTTCTACACACGCACACACACACACACACACACACACACACACACACACACACACGCACACACACACACACACATATATATACATACATACATACATGACGGCAATGATGATGTGAAAATGATTGACATGGTTATAACGCTGACGATGAGAATGATTCGAATTTGTTGCTTCTCAATGAACACCTTCCAAATAAACTGCTTAATGCAATTCTATAAATAACCTGGCTCATTATTCCATACAATAATAATAATGAATACGAATAATATGAATAATAATGTGGACATGGACAATGTGAATAATAATTGGTAACAATAATAACCAATGAAAATACTTCATATTTAAATGCCTATTATGGATAAATGAATGTTATGATGGAACCAATCTTCAATAGTAACTGTAATGTTGTTCTTTTTTTTAATATGAAGTGACATTCAGAATCTGGATCAGTTCTCAATGAAGAATTTTTATGACAACAAGTTAGCCGGCTGCACGCACCCCTCGCAGAGGAGGTTAGATCGCTTCCTTCTTTCTTTCTGCATCTCTTCATTTTTATTCTTCAGTTCGTTTTTTATCATTTGTTTATTTTTCATCGTCTGTCTGTTTTTGACTATTTAAATACTTTTATATGTCTCATATATATATATATATATATATATATATATATATATATATATATATATATATACATATATATACATATATATACGTATTTATAAAATTGCATATTTAAAATTTTCAAGTATATTTACATCAACCTTCATGAACTTCTTGTTTTTAATCTGCCTGCTCTGAGCAGACTCCAGTGAATCATGGGTCCGCTTTTATTACTTTTTGTTAGAGCTTATCATTTTCTCCAAATAAATTTTTGTTAATTTTTCTGTTATACCTCCAATTTTTATTGCTGGACAAGATCTGACTTGAAATGCACTTGAATTAATGGGGTTTGCAACTACAGTTTTATTCTATGATTATCTTTCTAGGTTTTCATGTTTGGCTAGTTATCATTTGTTTGTTTATGTTATTTTACTAGTTCTTTTATGTACAAAGTCGTAATCTGACCGTGAGATTATAGAATTAACCCATCCTTGTGCACAAGTGTTTGTGCTTGGTGTACCTTACTGAGAGGAACCTTCAGGCACCATAGCTGCATAATTGTTTGTTGCTTGGCTGCGATGGAAATTTGTGGCAGCTACGTTCGAGGAAGTTTGTTAAGATGGTGAGGATGGGTTAATTCTATAATCTCACGGTATCTAAGTTTCTTTGCTTGAAAGTTTGAAAAATTTCTCCAAAACGTTTTCAGTTGAATTCAATTAAATGAATGAAACAAGCAGTTATGTAAGTAAATAAAGGCGTTCATTTTTAAATTGAATTTGCTTTGAATGTAGAAGTAGAACCCTTAACCTCTTTTTATCTTATACAATATCTAATCTGGAATTCATTTTTAAATTTAAACAGATTATTTTTTACATTTGTTTATAGTGAAAAAAGTGTGTGTGGCTCTGCCTCATTAAAAGTTTTTTTTATTGGATCTAATTTTACAAAGTTGATCTAGTTTCTTTTTCCATATGTTTTCATGTAAAAATATAACCTTCAGAACTTTCAGTACTTCACTCATGCAGTAAATCATTTTTTTATTATGTTTGTTTCATCAACTTTTTGTTAAATAGAGTTATTTTTATTTGAAATATGATGGAGAGAAATTGCTGTATTTAAGACCATAACCTACCACACAAACATCATATCTTATAATATCTTATCTGGCTAAACTGTTGAAGCTGTTAAAAACTTTATCCATAAAGATGTCTGCTATCAACCTTATCATTTTTTTAAATAAATTCTGAAACAGGTATGTACATTACTTTGCTGGTTTGTTGTCTGGTGGGATTTCAATCAACAACAACCCTCTCTTCCTGCACCAGATCGTCATCAGGGGGGTGCCCAACTTCGACGGCAAGGGGGGCTGCTGTCCCTACATCAAAATTTATCAGGGCATGAAGCCTGTGTATGTCTCCGGTGTATTGTTAGTACGTGCTGCGTCGTTTACATTTTAACATTACTTATATCTTCTTGACGATGTAAAGTTCTCATGTTATCAAATTGAATTGTTGCATTAATTTGTACATTTTGTACATTTAAGTCGAAATTTTTTTTGGATGATTTGTTTTTTATGTTTCAACAAGTTTGAGCACCACATCTTTACTTTATTACAGTTCGTCATCAAGCAACTTGAACCAAATCATCGTAACATTGGATCCCTGCCTCCAGCTAAGAAGTGATATCCTCGTCAAATGCTACAACAAATCAAGCAACTCCAGTGCAAACAGGGAGATGATTTTTAGATGCCAGTTCCACACGTGCGCTGTCAACAACAACAATTCTCTGAAGTTTGGTAAAACTGATCTGGATGAGGCCTGCCAAGACTCCAGATTCCCGAGTCATGGACAGGTTGAGTTCGTCTTGTCTGAGAGCGTTCACAATTGGAATAGTTAGTGTCCGATTGATTACTTTAATACATTCTATTTTGATTTGAATATTCTGTTGCATGTAGTTGGATTTTTACAGATTGCAGTGTAATCACTTTGTAACAATGTTGAAATTTTTTTATTGTTAGAAGTGTTGCGAGTAGGCAGACTTCTATGAGATAGAGGAACGACGTCGTAGCATTATATGAAGAGCTTTCGTGAAATTTTCGTAAATGTTAGACAGATGAGAGATGGCATGCCCGATTGTGACTGGATGCGTGTCTCATCTGATATTTAATCACTTTTTTATTTCTTTGATTTTTGGATCTGTTTAAATCGCTGGATGTTTAGTGTTGAGGTTATCGTTACTAACATGGAATCAAAATGTTATTAAATCATTAAAAGAATGATGATTAGAGGTGATAATTTTATGATATAAAGTTTGCTAACACAAATGACGATGGCTCTATAATGAATGTACATGGTAACATTTATGCCTGATTTTTTGTTCTTTGAAGATCGTCCATTCATTATTGTGTAAACGTAAGCCATCAAAAAATAAAGCAATAAATAAAAAATAAAGAAACTGATAGAACAATAATCACTTATATGCGTCCAAAATATCTGGTTGTTTCATTTATTAATTCACCGATTTAACACCTGTTACACAGTTTTCAAAAACTGCCATTAAAGATTAAATAACAAATTAGTCTTCTACGTGCACTACCTCAACGGTTCTGCAGTACAACCGCAGTATTATATGCGCACACGCATTGTAAGTATAGTAAAACATGAATAAGCTATCAGAACATATCAGCCTGAGGTATTCATGGAATTTGTTAGCTGCAGACCTGAGAAGGCATAAAAATTTACACACACTGTATGAACATCTACCGTGCATACTAACATTGCGTGTACTCTCACCTATATTGCTTGTGCTACGTAAATAAAAAATATTTTGAATAATCTGTGCTCTTTTATTTATTTTCAATTATATATTTATTCCGTATTATCATCATTATTATATGTATATTATATATAATATATATATATAATATATAACACATTATTATATATTATTATTCTTATATATATATTATTATATGTATAATATATCTGTGTGTATTAATGAGTTTTGCTTACACAAAGAGACAAATTTTTTTCAAGTTTTACAGACCCGAGTTTTCAACTTCTTGCTTATTTATTACAATGATGACTTCCATGTGATGAAGTTTCATTACCCTATGTTGCTGTAAGCATCCAAATGAACTTCATCCAATCAGCTAACGAGCTCTCTCAATGAAATTCATTTTAATATCAAATTATTATTACGTCTTTCGTGCCATTTTGCAACCATTCAATTTCATTTGACAAAATTCTAATGCATCAACTGTTCATTAGGTGCCGCAGTATCGTGACGAAGCATCCTGAAAAAATAACTTTAAATGTGTCTACATAGGTGCTTATTGAACAAACTTTAATAATAATAATAATAATAATAATAATAATAATAATAATAATAATAATAATAATAATAATAATAATACTCAAGAGTGATTTGTTGGTTCATATCATACCGATGCTAAATACATTTAGCGACTATTTGTTTGTTCAGTTTGTAAGCCTATACGATGTTATCTTTGTAATTGTGTGTTGTGTTAGAGCGTTTTGTGCTTGTGTGTGTCTACATATCTGGTGTATTTAGATTTTAATGTGTATCGCTAACGTCTGCGTGGGTAGGCCTGCAAGTGCTTCTATGATTTAAAGTAATCGCCTGTCTCTGCGTTAATTATAATATTTTATTGAAAGGTTAATATCGCGACTATTAGTTTCATAAATGGTTGTTCGTCATATGTTCAATTACGCAGAAATTCACTAGTATTTCTATAAGATTTCACCAATTTGTCGATGTTTTGAGACTTTTAATTCTAAGTAAGTTAGGTTTGGGGATCTAATTAGTCAATTCTCGCGAAATTGGTGCATTTTAAAAACTTCGAATTACAAAATTTACTTGTGCGAAATTAAAATTCTCAGGAATTCCACCCAATGGTTTGTAAACACGACAGTTATCTATCTATCTATCATTCTATTTTAACATGATCTTTCTCAACGACGTGGATGTTTATCTTGTTCATGTGCAGAATATTATTTGCTGATCTTTGCCATGTAAGTTTGTGTACTCTATAGTAGAAATATTTGCGACGAGTTGTGTACTTTTCATGTATCTTGATTACTAAATATACAATATGAATACATTGTCATTTATCCATGATGTCGAAACATGTACAAATCCATGGTGCCTAAATGAGTTTGCGTGCTTGCCCCTGACTTAAAGTTTTGTCATATCAGTTTATTGCTATTTTTTTTGACAATTTTTATGTCCCGGAAACAGGAGAAACAAAACGATTCATAAATTATGAAGAGCTTTTTACTTGCTGGCTCGCCTCCATGCATACATACATTTCAACGTTTTTTGCGCAGTGTTTATGCTCACTTATCTAAATATTTTGGCTATTATCGTTATTAACAGATATATTTATCGTTTTCACTGGTCTAATCTCTTAATAGCTGAATAGTTTCTATCCCTACTTCATAACATCAATTATCACCGTCAGCGTTAGCTGAAACTGTCAGCAACAGCAATCATCTTCATTTGATAATCACTTGCCTCAAGCTGTATAAATGGTGGTTCAACAAAATGCATAAAAATTTTGTGAACAGCACTGCTTTCATCAGATACATGGGACGACCTGGGCCGGATATTTGTGGAACGTTGGCAGGTAGTTGGTTACGTTCAGCCTCAGTTGTTTACTTTATATTCAGTTGAGAACAAAAAATTCACACACACCTACGTCAGACCTCTCTTGTAACAACCTCAGAAATATGCAAACTTTACAGCTCATTGTTATTCAGTCAGGCGCAAATAGTTCCATTCAGTGGGAACAGAAAGTTAACGTAGTGGCGCTACATCCCACAGTCTTCTGCCATTGTAAATTGTTCTTTCCAGATGATTCTTTGCTTGAAGTTTTGCCATTTCAATGCAACATATTTTTGAATCAGAATGTTCATTTATCTCCGAGTGTAAATGTTTATTTGGCTGTTTCTTTTGCACAGGACGATCTCAGTATTTTGTTGGTAAACACTATCAACGTAAGTACAAACAACTTAGCAGTGCAAATAGTCATGATTTATAAGTCATACATTTTTTTGGTGCAATGGTCGTTGACCGCAAGCAATTATGATATTTCGGTTTGCAGTTACAATTGCCTAGAAACATATTTTAGTTTTTTTATACCATAAAAATGTATTTGATCAGATAAAAGTTTGTTGTCGTGCTTCATAGTTGCTGAAGTGAAGTGTTCTGCATACATTCATTGGCTGACGAGATATGACGAATGATTATGATGCTGGGGATTGTTGCAATGGTTGCTCCGCTAAAACACGCAGTCGCGAGACAGCGCAAAGAATATATTATTATTGAAAATTTCCATTTTATGTTTATTGTATCCTCAAAATGTAACATATTCTCAAGCGTGTAACATCATATCCTCAAACATGTAACATTATGATAGTGACTTATTAAACTCATGAACCTTTACTGTTTAACTGATGAGCTGTTTGACTAAAGATTTCATAGTAACGTTTTATAATTTTTAACGTTCTAATTGATGAATTAAATTTTTAAAAATTCATACCGAATATATTCGTTAGGAATATAAATTTTTCGCTGAAAATTTTTCATTCGAGTAAGACTTGAAAGTTCGAAGAATGTATTTTAGAATTTATTTTACGTCTTGCTAGCATTCGCTTGGATATAAACATTTCCTGTGTACGTCTAAAATAATTGAGTGAACGAAGGCCTTGCAAAATAAAAGCTTGTGAACAATTGACGAACATTTAATTTTTACATCAAAAATTACACTCACAGATACACGTGAAGATATATATATATATATATATATATATATATATATATATATATATATATATATATATATATGCACTCATATAATTTACGTTTCACTGATTAATTAATATCCCAACACTTGGCATACCTGCACCAGTATGTCATTAACTAGCTGACTGTGACTTGTTTGGTTAAAAATGTTGTATAAGATTTAGGAAATGGCGTTTTCACGCAATAATAATTTCCGCAACATTTTCTGAATCATATGTGTTTAGAAGTTATTTTCTGCTTATAGCTGTTGCTATCGTTTGCACATAAATGTTCATGGTTTTGATGTTATGTGTTTAATTTTGTACGTAATATCTTTCTTCTATTTTTTTACTTTTAATTGTTTTTTTTAGGTTTATTAAACAAATAATTTCTTTGGATTAAATATTTTACACGATTTTTAAATGCTGATTTGTTGCAATAACAAACATTTTGAAATCAACATTTTATTGAATATCATTATATCATATACTCATAAGGCGGTACTCGTTCATTTGCAACGTTCGTTCTACGCTCACACATTCGTCTACATTCATCGTTCACGTGTTCGTAATCAACAGAGTACGAGATATCTGACACGGAACGCAACATCTTGATTGGCAACTCTCCTGAGTCCATCGAACGCTGGAACTCTTACGAAAACTTTGCTGGCCCTCTAGAGGATATTACTTTTGAAAGTGGGCATTGTTTTGTGTAACCAGATATTTTATTTAAAAATTGGTCTTGCTGTTTGTAAAAAAGTATTTCATTTAAAAAATAGTGTCGTTGTTTAATAAGTTGTTGCTGGCTTGTTTGGCAGGAAAATTTCCCTGTTCGATGCCGTTTTGTATTTTTATAGCTGCTTAATTTTCTGGTGTGAAGAATTTTTTGTTTGGTTTCTAAATAGAACAAAAGTCATATTCATTATCATTTTTTGAAGGTTCTATTAATTTTGACAACAAATATAAATGATTAATAATTTTTTGATGTCGTTGATTATCTATCGTGCCTTATCGTTGAATTTTGCCAATTTTTCATATTTTTTTCCATTTTGGTATTTTTGGATAAATAAATAACTTAGAAAAACTGATTACTTTTGTTTATTTTTTGATATCATCATCCTTAATCATGCTATTTATCTTTTGAATTTTTTAAATTTGTTGAACCAACAGCTATGAACAGTCATAGCAATGCAAACAGGAGAGTAGATAAATATGAAGAGTTTTACAGGACTGCCGACAACAACAACAACAACGAGTTTGTTTCAACTTCCTACTCAACGTCAGCTGCCAGGAAGCGTCAGGAAGATAGGAATGACTACTCTCCATCCAGGAGGTACGTTGAAACGAACAACAACTGGGCCAATGGAAATGTGGTCGAACAAGATTTTGAATCCTTGAGAATGAACGATCGAGCTGGAAATACGAGCACAAATACAAGTATGTCCATTATGACATTTTTTTCATTTCTTTCTCAGTTTAGTGGCATATTCATATTTAAAAAAACTATCCATTTAATGTACTAATATATGGGGTCGCTTTCTGAAATCTTTTGAATATTTTGAAATTTTCTGGGGATCTTGAAATTTCAATAAATTATGCACGGACAACTAATCAAGATATTAAACCGGTGTCCTTGATATTTTCAAAGACACTTCAAGAAGAATGAATACAACAACCTCATCAAAAGCACTTACTGACCATCAACAGCAACAACGTTATTATCAGCAGCAGCAACAACAGTCTCAACAGACTCTCGCCACAACAACTCCAAATATTCAGAATTCAGCTGAACAGCAGCAGTTGGATGATATTTTGAAGGAGTTAATGGAAGAAGAGCATACTGCATTTCCAACGGGAACAAGCAGGTCGGTTGTTGCCACCAATCGAGTACCTCCTGCCCAGGGAATCATCACCACAGAAAGCGAAAACATGAAAACTACTCTTTCTTGGCAATCTTCTCAGGCTGGTCCGACAAAATCTGCCACTGTAACTCGACAGACCATCGCTAATCCCACTCCTCACTCCAGATTGCAGAGTGAAGTCTCAAGGTACAGAGAAGTTACAGGCGATTCCACAAAAGGCATCGTAGGCGGGAAGATGACATCTTCAGAAAGTTATTTGTGCCGAATGCCTGAGTTTCAAGAAAAAAGAAAAGTTGATATGTTGGCAGAAAATAGAGTTTATGATGCAAATTCTATTGAAGCTGCTGAGTTTCTAAACAGGACTTCTCAGCAGAATCTTGGGTTTGAAAACAACACTTTTTCTGCACAGAAACAAAATGTGTATAACGACAGAAGAAAAGTAGGAAGACAAAGGACTAACAGCACTGGTGCACGCAACTATATCTCTGACTCTGAAGATCAAGTAGCCTGGCTTGAGAGCCAGAAAGAAAGATTACGTAATTTAAGAGAAAGTAAGTCTACCTGGCGCAATCAATCGTCACAAGAAAGACAACTTATGGCCGAATTGAAATCGGCTCAAGGATCTTATTACAGCGGCAAGAAGGCTCAGAGTGACACTGAGGATTTTGATTACTACAACAAAAGCAATTCTAAACAACGTTCTTATCGTAAGGTTCATTCCAAAAACAATTTGCCTTCTTCTTTCTCTATAGAGGAGTACCGGGATGCCAAGGGACGCAAATGTCAAACCATCGAAACGGAGACGTTCTCAAGAAGGTGTGAAACAACAACAAGTCAGTTCGCCAACGACAACCAGGTAGGCAACACAATGCCAAAACAATTAATGCCCCCGCCAAGATCGAGCACACCATCAACTCCCGTTATCCCGGAAAGAGGAGAGGCAAGCAGGGAGGCATACGTGAGGAACACTTACTCTCTCAAGCCTATTGGTGGTTAGTTTTTTTATATTTTTAATCAAATTTTTGCAAATATTCTTCATTGAACCAATTTGAACACCAGACTACACATTTGAGGCCGATACTAGAAGCCATGCATCACTGCCTAGATTGGAACATCCACAAGTTAGCTCATGTGTATTTTTGTATGGATATGTATTGTGTACCTGCTTTTTTGTATATATGTGATATTGTGCTCATGCACTAGTTCATGAAGGTACATGCGGAAGATTGCTCTTATGTCACTGATTACAAATTTGATGTTCTCGAGTAATATTTATTGAATAAAACATTCACGATTTTAGCCAATAGAAGTTGAGATAGTTTCATTGCAGCCAATAGGACCAGGGGTTCAAACTTTGGAGCCCACCACTCCCAACACTGGAACCATCATGCGTGCTACCACTCCTGGCCCGGGTTATCATGCAGTTTCTTTTGCGTTCAGTTTTTGTTTTTACCTTGTTGTAAATTTAATAGTTAATTTTCAATTGCTAGGTAGTGTTCATTTACTCAGGCGTAACTTATTGCCTGTTGGTAATTTTTCAACTCAACTTCAACTCAAGTATTTAATTGGTAGGTACACTTTCGAGGGAGTACAATGCTGTAACCAATAGTGTGTCAGTGCCGACCTCGCTGGCCACGCTGCAACTGTCGCCAACCAATCTCAGACCCCCATCTGCCAATCAGATGAGAACTTTTTCAAGAAATGAAAGCTACCAAACGACTGTTAAACCGGTTCCTGTGTATCAACAGGTTGAAAATGTTGTCGACGCATGTTTGTTTATTAGTGCTGCTGCATGAGTCTTTGTTTGTTTCTAACAATGGTCCGGTGGTTAAGATGTACCAGCAAGATGGCCAAGTAGTTGAAATATGTGCAGATGAAACATTTCGCTTTTTGGGATTTAGAAATGCAAACAGATTCGGATTGAAATGCATCGTTTAATCCATCTCATAAAAAATCTTACAAATCTTACTATTATTCTTGGTTGTAGCAATTGATCAAAAAATGTTTTATTTTTGGGTGTTTTTGAGCCATAGTTAAATGAAATGTTGCTAAAATCGTCCAAGGAAATTATTTAATCTTTTATCAACAACTGTGACAGAAAGTGTCGACGATAGATAGCTCTCGAATGAACAATGTGAACAACGGACCTCTGCCTCTGCTCCCTTACCAGAGTGCCACCCTGCCTCAACAATTTTCGACACTTCAACAACCGTACGTCCAATCATACAAGGAGACCCAGACCTGGAGCACCACTCACAACCCCTCCGCCAATGTTTGTTTGTTTGTCGTGCTTTCTTGTAGTTTTATTGTTGGTAAATTTTGAATTAAATTCTTAATAGGAAATGTAATTCTTAATAGGCTCCGGCATCGGCTGGCAGCACAATTCAACGTCAGCAGCCACCACGGATCGGCGGGAGTGTGCAACATTTGAACCAGAACCAAACGATGCATCGCACGATGAGCTCGAGTGCAGAGAGCAGATCCATACCAGTCCTCGTTCAGCATCAGGACGGAACTATCACGGCTCCCATCAACAACAATGCTGCTGTGCCTTCAATCCATCTTCAGAGACAAGCTACTGTGCAAGAACAACAGCGACAGCAACAACTGATGCAGCACAGCATGCTCCAGCAACAACAGCCACAAGGATTTGTTCAGCAACAATCTATAAAACAGCAATATGTTCAACAACAACAACCAGTCGTACAGCATCGGTCACGAGATGAAGTTGATGGTGAAGTGATCGCCTTGAATTCAGGTAACGCAACCTTCATGACTGGCAGCCAATCAGCTACGAGCAGCAACGTGCGTCGATTTCAAAGCCAAGCGTCGGGTGCTGTTCTGAATGAGGGCGGCACGATAGTGAACAGGTCGAGAGCAGGAAGTTTCTCTTCGGCTGCAGGTTATTTCACACTTTTTTCATTTATTCCACTCTTCATTTGTTTGTTTGCTCTTTCTTTTGAACGATAGAACCGCTCCATTCCATATTCTAGCAAACGTCCGTTTGATCATAATCGTTCAAATTTTGAGAGGATAATAATGTTGGTTTAATTAAAGAAAAAATATATAAATATTAAAAACCAGCGACGCTTTCTGTAACACACGCTCAACAAAACGTTGAACAATAACTGAACGACATCAACAGCACATCAAACATTTTGACCAACCTCAATAAATAGCAACCAACAACATTTGAAACAAAAACAACATCAGCAGCAGGAGCAGGTGCCGATTATGAATTCGTGAGTACGTCAACCAAATTCGTGAAGGACACATCAAAATATTGGCACAGACAAAACTTCACCAGAGATGATGGTTACTTTTTTTCTCATAGAAAAATCTTCCATATTTTAGTAGCTGAAATATTTCATTCTGTCACTATGCGTGTATGTGGTGAGAATAATAACATAAATTAATTAATGAATGAGTGGTCGGTCTAAACTTGTCTCGTTTTGTACATCTGCTGATAGGAATTACACCTGGAAATATACTTATTTAGTGTGATGATGTTGTCTGCTTAGATTAGATGCTTGCCTTTCGTTACGAATTAGCCTATCCCTATTTTATTTATGCAAGCTGCTAGATAAGATAACAGACCTGATAGCCAAGAGTTAATTAGATGATCCAGCACATTTAATTGTCGAACTGCACATTTAACTCCATCATTTGGTTTGTCTCATTGCTAAGCAATTCTACATGTTATCTGCTGAATGTTTTTACGATCATCAAGTCCATCACACACGTTACCTTTTAGGTTACATTAAAAAATCTGTTATGCAAATGTTATTAATTTCTTTCATCATCGCACGATACTTTCCAGCCATCCAATATTTGAAAGACAAGCCAGCTGGTTCTTTTGTTATTCGCAACAGTGCAACCTACCCTGGAGCTTACGGGCTGACGTTGAAGGTGTCTCAGGTGCCAGATAATGTACCGCTGACCACTGGTAAGCCTTTGAGATACCGTTGGTATTGTGCGTGTGTGTGTTAGTGAATGAATGATTTTATTGAATGAATGAATGAATGAATGAATGAATAAATGAATGAATGGATGGATGAATGAATGAATGAATGAATGAATGAATGAATGAATGAATAAACGAATAAGTGAAGTGGGTATGGGAGTTGAATGAGTGAAATGGAAGAGAGAGCTTCATGAGCACTCGTCTTGTGTAGTCCCTAGCTTTTTGAACTGTTTAATGTTATGCTTTGTTCGCATCTAACGAATTATTTTAGTTCGATTGATTTGTAATTCTGTGTAGATGTTTTTAAGACTTGTTATGTAATGCAATCCAATGTGTCGTTCACTCTGTGTTGTGTAAACTGTTTTTTTCGTTATGCCGGAGCCGATATTGTCTGCAGATATATTCGTATGAATTGTTTATTATGATTGTATTTGTCATCTTGCATTAACTCCTCATATGTGAATGATTTATGTGAATGATTCCTCATGTGTGAATGATTCCTCATGTGTGAATGGTCCCTCATATGGGAATGGTCCCTCATATGGGAATGGTTCCTCATATGTGCATTATTCAGGAGATCCTCAGTTAGAACTTGTTCGACATTTCATAATCGAACCAACTGCAAAAGGAGTTCAGTTGAAGGGCTCTCCAGTTGAACCCGTCTTCGGTTGCTACTTTTATTTCATTTTCATCCATTTCTTATATAAATATTCAGATAAATATCCATGATGTATTTATTAATGTTTATTTTGCATGTGATAACGTTGAAAGCATATTACTTATTGATGAATGAATTATTCCACCATCAGCCAGCTTATCTGCTTTCGTCTACCAGCACACAATCACCCCACTCTCGCTGCCTTGTCAGTTGGTTCTACCAAATATCGATGGTACGTTAGATGTGTGCGTTTGTGTGCTTGCGTGTGTGCTTGCCTAGTGTAATTCAATTTTTTCATTTTGTTTGTTATTTCATTTTAATATGTTTGTTATTTTCATTTAGATTTGTTTTCTTCATGTTTTTGTTAGACATGTCACTATTCCATCACATCATATTTTTCTCTCAAGTTTACAATCATTATATTCTTTCATCAAATTTATTATCATAAGTCCACCTCGTGTTCATTCACTCACGTCTCTACCACTTCGCCGTTTGCCGAATGACGTCCACTAGATGTTATTTGATCCCAAAATGTTGAATGCTCCTATTAGCTGCGTTCAGACATGTTATGTCATGTGGCGATAAGCCAATTAATCATGTGACTAATCGGGATGTGATAAAGATGATGATGAAGATGATGAAATAATTTCAGCAGTAAATAGTCGATGATTGTGTGTGCGCTATACTTATAATAAATGATTGACGATCACATTCACGAAGATTATGACTGGAGATGAGTTGGGATGAATTTGGAAACCAAATATTAGTAGCGATGGTAATGAATGAGTAACTGCTATTAAACTGATTGTTAACGAATTATTGATAATTGATGAGTGAATTTGATTTCAATGCAGACGTTTTTGAAGATCAGTCGACGGCAGTTGTTGGGTCGTCATCAGCATTCTCCTCATCGTCAAAAGCTGGTTTGCTCTCTTACTCTACATAATTCATGCAGCAGTATCGTATCAATCGTTAAAATGTTTCGAAAGGTTCTTTTTTTAAAAGTCCAACAGCATTTTTGTTGATGTTACAAACAGATTGCAATGTGCTGTACATCGATAGTTTGGATATGGAGAGCTTGACGGGACCAGATGCCTTGCAGAAAGCACTTGATGTCATTTTTGCTAAGGGGTCAGCCCTTCCAAAGACAATTCTTGTGAACATAGCCGCTTCGTCACAAGGCATCACCGTTACTGATAACGAGCGCAGGTTACATGAATTCTAAAGAATTACCTCTTTCTTATTTTTTTAATTTAGTTTTTACTAACTTTTGTTAATTTAATAATGATAATATTAATTTATGTTTTATAATATTTGTAATGCCATTGTTTCGTTTAGTTCAAGGGAATTTTATTCAGCATTTCAATTTATTTTAATATTTTATTCATAAATATTTTTTATATCCAGAAAGTTCTTTCGATACTCTTACCCACTGAACAGCATAACTTACTTGGGATTAGACAATCAGGAAGACAAGTTAGATTTTTTTTCTAAATGGCTCAGTTTCAAAATGTATTATATTAAATGATGGTGGCAGAGATGAATCGAAGAATCGGAGTTGATTTAAAATTTGTCTGACTCTGACTTTTTGAAAAAAAAATTCGACTCCGACTTCCCAGAAGCTCGTTCAACCTTTGTTTTGAAACTTAATAATTGATCGCTACTTTTTGATGTCTTTTCCTTTGTATATTTAAATTGTAAAAACCACTGTGTCAGAGTTGGATAAAAATTATTCAAACTCCGTCTCTGACTCTGGGTAAAAATTTCCAAGTTCCCAACCCTCAAAATTTTTTGTAGTAAAGCACGACTTTCGCTTCCAAAAACCATGTTGACTCTTACTGATTATGCAATTTTCAGAAAGATTTAAGTGAGCGAATAATGTGATGTAACGTAATGCGTATATAACTGTGTCAATCATGTAATGACTATCAATTTAAACTGACTAACAAAGAGATATTAACCTTATTTCAGATGGAAAGTCGCAGATTATGATGGTCAGGCCAGGGCATGTGGAAGGTCTCATGCTATTTTGCATTTTGTTACATTTGTGACTAATTCCTAATTTTTACTATTTTAAAATTTGTTTCAATTTTTATAATTCTTGTATAAATGTGGCCGTTATTTTTTCTGTTGCATTATCATCTGTTGAATGGGCTGTCTCGTTTTATTTGTTACATTCGTTATGTTCATTGCAATTCAGAGGGACCTGGTGCTCACTTGTGCTTTATTAGTTTTTACTTCATTTTTAGTAACTGTTTGAAACTAACGCTGCACAAAAATCATTCACCAGAGTATTTGGATTTGTAGCGAAGAAATCAGTTGGTGGAACGGATAACGTCTGCCACATGTTCGCAGAACTTGATGCCAGGCAGAACCCTGCGCAGACCCTCATCGAGTTCATCACCACCATCATGAAGAACGAAGGCAGGCAAGTGACCAGGACGTGAATGCAAGGTTCTCATTCTTCTCCTCTCTTCTTATTTGTCGTATCCATCTGCATCTAGGAATCAATGTAGAAAGCAGGTGCATGTAAAACATTACCCGCTCTTCGAGTGTAATTAGAATATTTTAAGTGAAACGATCAAGTGTATTCTTTAAAATAATTTTTGCATTTTGATCCAAATTGTATGTTTTAGCCTTTACAAAAGGAAGGTCTAGCAATAAAAATAACGACAAGCTCGAGGTATTCTCTTTTCAAACTGTTCAAAGTTATAAAAGTTGATTAGGTAAATCATTATGGCTCTAAAAAGTAGTCGTTTGAGTGCTGGATAATAAGAAGATGAATGTTAAGAGGGTGAGGAATTGTTGAAGATAGAAGGATTGTATGTTTTTCTAAATGAACCTATTCCAATAATTAACGATGGTTATTATATTAAGTGAAAAAAAATCGATTGACAGACTTAAAATGTTGAAAACAGGTTTGATCAGAGCTTAACTTGTACGCAGTTTGAAAATATTGGAAAAATCGGAAATCCGCTCTGAGTGTTAGACCGGTACACTCTGGTCCAGACTCTGGCCAAAAATTACTTGTACCATTGTAGTGGGGGCTGTGCCGTAATTATATGACTTGAAAAACGTGATTGCTGTTGTAAGTTTTCAAGTATCAGCACGAATTTATTCAGCCAGAGCGGATCTCCGACTTGACCGGAAATATTTGTCTTACAGGATAGCAGCGAGATGGTGTGCTTGAAAACTTTATTAAAAAAATCAAATTAATGAAAAAAGTTGTATTAATGACCATAACGATGTAAATATTGACAACGAAGGTACGACCCACCCAGAGAACTGGTTGAAGAGGAGCGACATACAACGTGCCAATCAATGTAGTAGTGTTCTCGTGACTCCATCCATTGCAATGGGATGAACGATTGTACAAATATTTATTCATTCATCTCCATTCATTCGCAACTCCTTGATGTAATTGGAATCTATCCTTTTGGGACTTTCGTTTTGTTTGGTTTTCAATGCATTTTTCTCAATTATCTATAAATAAATAAATTAATTAATTAATTACTTTCCTACGTTTCTAACAACTGTAGATTCGTATTTCTCCCATTTTTTTTATCATGTTTCAGTTAATATAACATCAACAAATGCTACTACTAATAATAATTGTAATTATTATTATGAAATAATATTAAAAGTTAATTATATCGACACAAGTTAACAGAGGTTAATTAATATAACATTAGACGTTTATCTCAAGTGCTTCAATTCATGATGTTGATGGGTGTATGTATGTTTGGATGTATGTTTGTTTGTTTGTATGTTTGTTTGTATGTATGTTTGGATGATTGTATGTTTGAATGAATGTTTGTTTATTTGTTTGTATGTGTGTATTTATGCGTGTATGCATGCATGGCGTTAGTAATATTGACTTGTTTTAAAATATGATTTGTCGTTTGTATGCTTATATGATTTGTTAACATTTTAAACGTCAATGAGCTTTGAAATATTAAAATACAATTTTTTATGTATTTTTGTTGTAAAAATAATTTTTGAAATTAAACACAGTTCACATTAAACATCACAGATTTCTTTTGCACATCAACAACGCCAAACAAATTATTCTCCAAATGTCTTAACTGTTTAATTGTTTTACTTAACCGTTTGTTACTTATTCACATGATAGTCCTATTAAAATATAGCTGACAAAAACACAGACATATAAATCTTGTATCTTTATAGTATCATGATGGTATTACGTAGTATCATGTATCGTGTAGTGTCATTTAGTATTATACAGTATCAGTGTCATGTAACACCATACAACATCTTGTGTATAATACACTATCATGCAGTTTCAAACACTACCATGTAGTATCATACACTATCATGTAGTATCATACACTATCATGTAGTATTATACACTATCATGTAGTATCATACAACATCGTGCAGTATCATACAACATCATGTGTATCATACACTATCATGCAGTATCATACAACATCATGTGTATCATACACTATCATGCAGTATCATACAGTCTCATGTAGTATCATACACTGTCTGTAGTATCAAATAGTTTTATTCCTAATCCATCTTAAGTCTTTTTAGTAGGAATTGTAAGTAGTTTTACAATTTGTTGACAAACTGTTTTCTTATTGGTCAGGATTCGTATGACTTGTTTGGTAGTTGTTTCACCATTGAACATTCATTAGAATGTGATGTTAATGAATTTTTAATGATGACAATAGTATAATGATCCATATTGAGCATGGAGTGTGTTCACCAACATAAACCGTATGTTTAATGTTGGTGAACACACTGGATCAAATACAGGATTGTTATCGAAATGAAATTTACTATTTTTTAGTTAAAATGAGACACTTGATAAATTTTACGTTGCACGATGCACGATACTTGATTAATATTAATTAATTCAAATCAAATCAAATCTGCGTTTATTCAGATTTGATTTGATTTGAGTTAATTAAAGTTAATTATAATTAATTTAAGTTAATTAAAGTTAATTATAATTAATTAATTGATTGATTAATTAATTAATTAACAGACTTTCGTCTGTTACGAAGTTTTATCCTCTTATAAATGTTACAATGATCCTATGTTTATGACAGTAGTGGTGATGATATCTTTTTGGATCCTGCCAATAGTAATGTTACTTATTTCGATGTTATCACAGAAGATCTATCTTCTATATGGATAACAGTAGAAAGTGATTATAATGGAAAATGATGGAGTTCTGGTTGAGGATGTTGGTGGAGGAAGAAACCCCGTAGAAATGAGATGATGAACGGTCGGATGGATGTTTGGCTGGCTGGCTGGATGCACGCATGCATCAAATTAACAGAAGAAACTAGCGTTGTTTTCCTAACTGGTTGTTTTCACATTAGTTGTAGCCTCTGCTTCACATACACTTCATCATTTGATCATTTTTTTTCCTTTTATTTAATTTTCTCGGTTACCTTCATTCGTGAATATTTTTAAAAATTTAACAAATTGTTGCGTTTTACAGCTTTTTTTTAAGTTTAACACAATTTTCATGATGAACCAATTATATTTTTTAACTTGTTGAACTAATGAACGTTAAGACTAATAAATTATTTGAAGTTATTCATATTATTACATTCGCTGATATTATCATTAAAAATTTTTTTTATATATAACAATGTTTTATGAAAGAGTCCAACATTTTGACAACCTGAGCAGCTTGTTGATCTTAAACCAGAAATTTTAACTCATTTCATTTCACTTTTGAAATTAGATAAAAACTAATTTTCTACTAAAATAGGTTTTAAATTTGTTACTTAAATATCTGACTAAAGATAACATTCAACTGTTTTTCATTATAGAAATAAATGTTATTAATGTTCCCTTACATTTATTCAAAACTTGTAACAAACGAACAACGAGCAAAAAACTTGCGCAGAATAATTTCAAAGTATCGCGTTTCGCATTCCACCATATTAAATTATTAACTGAGTTTCATGCAATGACGTTGCAATGCTAGGGCGGTCCTTACATGTTGTGTAGGGAGTCTTGTTTGTTTGGTACGCATGCATTTACTCCAGGATAAAACAGAGGCAGCTTGGGGCGGCAAATTTCGGAGTCAGAAACTTAATATCTTTGCCGATACTTTATTAACTAACTTAATAAAGTATCGGCAAAGTGAATTTATATTTAGGCAGGATGGCATCTTATGTGGTACCTACAACAGCGTCGGTGCTGTTTGCACGGCGACCTAGACAACGTGGCACGGCGCTATTTGCATTTGCGTGCGTGGTTGTTGGGATGAAGATTTTGGTTATTTGCAAGTGGTGAGAGATAATTTCAATGACTGAAGAAAGGGGAAAGATTTTGGCTGACACTGATTAGAAACGTATTCGTCAGTGAACATTGCGCTTTGGTGATAATCTGTAAGAGACGGCTTGAGTAAACTGGCGACAAATTTCGAACTGAGTTTTTTGAGTAGTTACAGGGAGGTTGATTATTGAACTGAAGAAGCGGCGGTCGACTAGCGTTAAATTTATAAATTCGTTTCTAATCCGTATACATGGTATGATCGTATTCATGGAACGATTGAGTGCAGGGTATGCACTGCGCATGGATGGTTGTATGCACTGTGCATGGATGGTTGTATGCTTGTGCATGGATGGTTGTATGCATGTGCATGGATGGTTGTATGCACTGTGCATGGATGGTTGTATGCTTGTGCATGGATGGTTGTATGCATGTGCATGGATGGTTGTATGCACTGCGCATGGATGGTTGTATGCATGTGCATGGATGGTTGTATGCACTGCGCATGGATGGTTGTATGCATGTGCATGGATGGTTGTATGCATATGTGCAATGTGCATGGATGGTTGTATGCACTGCGCATGGATGGTTGTATGCATGTGCATGGATGGTTGTATGCATGTGCATGGATGGTTGTATGCATATGTGCAATGTGCATGGATGGTTGTATGCGTTGATGAATACGTGCGTGGATGATTGAACGCATGGCTCAGTGTGTGAATGAATGATTATATACAGGGTTTTATTGTAAGCATGTATGATTGTATGCAGGGTATGATTTCCCTGCTCAGCTGTAGTGTGTTTTCATTGGTCTTAGCGGCTTATACTTGGTAATATTTTTCAACATAATTTATACCGAGAGAGCAGTGAAGTTACATTACAAAAACAATTTCTGGCAACTATTCTTACCTCAACTTTGAAGTAGTTTCTTTTTGTTAACATAGCACAGAGAACCGTAGTGATTCAGACTAAGGGTTTGTTTGCTAAACACTTTAATACAAACAATACATACATTAGCATGAATTTTAAGGCGCCATTACGTACGAGACATAAATACCTATTAAGAGGAGAGGCTGGTGGATGGCATTGACGACACCTTCATTAATTGCCTTTCATCAATCCAATTTTCCCGCCCAATAAACTCACTAATATTTAAAATTTCTTCCAACAAAACTGGTTGAATTTATATATTCTTAGGCTGAAGTTTATTTAAAAATAACGGCTTTTTTAATATATTCCCTATAATCCTTGTTGCGGTTGTTGTCTCATATTTAAAAATTGTAATTAAATGTTTCTTTGTACTTTTTAAATCTTTTACATATTCTGGCAAAGTCAATCAAGTTTTCGCGAGCATATAATTTTTATGTTGGTTCACAAACTTCTAAATTGAATGATCAGGAAAAGAGCATCTAAGAAATCATTTTTTCATATCATTTAAAGTAAAATTATTAATACGAGACAGGTTATATCCGGACTAAATCCTGGCTCTTTGAAATTCGTCTTATTTGTTTATTGATTGCTCCGGCCATGATCGTAAATGTGCACGTTGTACAGTTTTCGCGTGCGTGATTATGTGTACGCTATGATGAAAAAATTTAATCCTTATTAATTTTGTGGAAACATTTTTAGTTTTTTTGTATTACCATCTTTGGCTAGTTAGTTGACCTGGTCCAACCGCTGCTTGTCCGAAATTACCAAATTGTCACACACCTTGCTTGCGCTAATATATTTACGTGAATGTTAGGCGGGTGATGTTTACGTGTATGGTCTTTGCTACAGAAATGTTGAATTTCAAACAAGTGAGTAACGATGTCAGCTGGTGGGTCACATAATTTTCTTTTCAAAATAAACAAGACAAATTCATTGAAATGCTTTATAATTCTACACAAATTTAGACAACTTAAACCTGTGGTAATGTTACGTTTTTCATTTACTTACTTTATAACATTTTTCTATATTACACAAATATAGAAAAATGACCTTTTTAATATTTAATGCAAATGTACTGCTAATTTTTTTTTGAAACACCGAGAACTGCCAGCTAAAATTTTTAACACTTCTCTCAATAAGTTGCAAAAAATAGATTGAGTGAGACAAACTTCAAAAAAAACCTCTTTGGACGGAGATGTTGAAGCAGCTCATTGAGGTTACATTGGCTAGACCCATGATGATGTAGTTCATCCATTTCTTTTCCAGTTTCTCTTCCTCATTAATACAAATTGAATTAGCCTGTAATATGGGCTTTCGGCAAACTTGTCTAAAGAACTCAAATTTTTATTAGATTCCTATATATGTTTTTTTTTTATATTGTTATAACAGTGGAATGGTCGAATTGCGCTATATAAATTAGTTTCAATTAATATGGATTATCTTGATTATTTGTTACATTTCTAAAACTGTCACTTGTTTTTGTAGCTATGCAATCCATAATCTTTCCCGCCATCTTGTGTTATCTCACTCATCTTCCTTAAACCATCTGCACTATTGGGTTAATATTATCAACT